GAAATAGGATAAATACATCTCATTACACCTTATTCAAGCATCAAAATAGTGTTACAAAAAAGTTTATGAACCAGAGGCAAAGGTCTTTGAAAGAAGAAGGTAAATAAAAGCAATAAGGCCGTCAAATGAAAAAGTAGGGAGCCCGAGTACAAAATGAAGATTAACTTTAAGATTATAGGCTCGTAGATTCGTTTGTAATACCGACAGATACGCTTCAAGATGTTTGCAGATAAGAACTTGTGGATAAACTCACAAGATCCAGCAATTCGCTCTACACTCATTTTCACAAAACATTCTAAAATTTTACAAGCGACTAAGGTAACAAATACTAACCTCCCACTGAAGTCTTGCCCAGACTACACAATCTTGGAATGATGTTGGTCGTCTCTCTAAAAGGTTGTCTTTGAGCTGCTCAAGAGATTCAAGGGGCTGACTTCCAGGGCCGGACAAGATAGAATCGAGGAACTTGGTTGATTCCTGTTATAAAAAAGTGGATTAAAAGTTGTGAGGATGTGCTTAAACATAATTAAAAAAGCTGAATGTAGAGTAGAGATTAATTTTTAAAAATATAGTAGAAAAAAATATAGCAGATTGCAAAACAAGCTAAATATAATTCAACAACATAATTAAATATAGGATAAATATGACCCAAAGAAATAGTAAGGATACTAACGGTCATATAAGAATATAAGGCACGCGATTGTTGTGTAAAGAGTCCCTCAAAAAGATCACGTGCCCATTGAAGAGTATGCTCGATTTGGTATGGAAAATTCTTCAGAGTACAGACTGGTATGGCTTTTTCTGGTGGATCCTTAAAAGAGAAAACGAGCACTGGTCATAAAAAATATTAAAAAAAACTAGGTAAAAATGATGAAGTTAAATACTGTTTAAGGCTCATTTATAATCCGAAATTAAGTAAATAAATAATGCATTTTAATGCAAACAATTTTTCGAGTCAGGAGAGCAACAAATTTACACGAGAAATGGAGTGCTAAGAACACCCACAAACAAAAGCAAAGACAAATAAGCATACCTGGGATGATGAATATGATTCAGTCAGATAGGGAATGACCACTTGAACATTTCCTTTAGTGCCAAGAGTGCCAGATTCAAGAAGTGGCTTGCGATAATACACACAACGCCTATCTACATAAGTCCTCGCTTCTACATTGTCGAGTGCATTAGCAACGCCATCCAATTGCTCGAAAAAGTCATCATCATACGTAAATTCCGTTTCGGTACCAACAAAATTCTCATGAGCAATTATGTTGACCTATATTTAAGAATAAAATGGATAGTCAAGAAGAGAAAAACAATATAAAATTAGCGCATTTGATTTATTTACTGAATTCATTCAGCTAAGTAAATAAATAGAATTGAGATACGGATTGTTACAACACAAGGAAGTAAACAATATCACTAGTGAAAAAAATTACCTCAGGGTTCATGATTTTTGCAGCTCTGGAAGCCGTGGTAGATTTGGGTTTCGAAATATCCCATGGCCTAAAGAGAAATTGTCTGTTAAGATTGGATTTCTCAATAATATCCATGTCGGTAATGAACACTTTTCCTTCTGGCCCACAACCAACACCCATCATTGCAAAATTCTTAAGATGTTCACAGCCTATTGCACCAGCGCCAACCTGTTTAAGAAAAAAGTCGTGAGTAGGATAGATATCGAAAGTTATATAAGCAAAATAAATTTATTGTTGGTTCGACTTTGTTTTACCAATTTGGCGGAAAATCAGAGACCTTGTAAAATGTACATAGTCCCGTGTCCTTTGCCATGATATCCAGCATTAGACTGTTGGCTGGGTACATTCTCAGGTGTTTCTTGGAAGAAGCAATACAATGCAGCATACGGACTGTGATGGATAGATGGAAGAATGGAGATTATGAAAGGAAATCAAGAGGGGCAGAGGAAAAACGATGGATATGTCTATCCTTCTGCGAGTTGGCTCGAAAGCTATGGCCAGTACTAGAGAAATGGAACATTCGTACAATCCTCTTCATCAGCTTGCACATACAACATGAAGAAGTCAACAAAACAGAGTGCTCCGGAGTTCACAGCGTAAACTACAAGGACCATGAACAAAAGCACATCAGAGAGACGGTAAGGACAGTCAGCACAAAGAGCAAAGAACACCTGTGACTATGAAGAAAAATGGGTACGGAACGATAGGATATATGAACACATCGCCCTTACCGGTCACACAATTTACTGGAATGCAGCGGAAAGATTGGCCTCATATGGTGAAAACACCAGAAAATGGAAGATGAGGGAGGCTATGGACATCTTCCTCCAGGGAAATCTGATTAACAGAAAATTAGAAGAGTGAAGTCAGCGATAATTTCGCGTACTGCCTGGGCAGATGTGGATAATGAGCGAAGACATCAAAAAGGATACGCTTGGTCCCATGATAACCGTTAAATGAGAAAATACATCATCAGGGGCGGCTCATGAGGAACAAAGAGAAGTCAAGAAAAAGCGACTGCAGTCAAACCAGAAATGGACCAAAAAATTACCAAGGTCAATCTACCCCTGAGACGTAGGATACGAAATTGAAGGCTATACGCATAGATGGGCTAGATAGAGGTCACCAGCGCGTGCGGTGTGGTATGCACTTTTCGTATCTGTATGAAGGCAACGGGCTTGACTACGGGGGATACCAGTCAACACCCACACACATACATGAGCACTATCCCAGTACCCCCGGATTAGATGGTAATGTCAACAAGAGAAACGATATAAGTTTGCTTTACGCAATTCAAGAAAAAAAAAGAGGTGGTGGATTTTCACACTAGCTGTCATGACTTAGGCCAGACACAGGGCCCCAAATAATGCAACACAATACAGGTGGGGATGAGAAAGAAGATAATCGAGTCATGAGCTTCAAGTGTAGGGAGAGGAAGTCTCAGGTATTGGCATGGGATTAATCTTATGTAAATCCTGGAATATGGCGTAATCGAGGACGAGAATTGAAGGCCCTTAGGCAACCAGTGATTTTGATATTTAGCAATTGAAAAGCGGGTAAAAAAATTGGGCAAAGTGTAGGTCAGGAGCCCTGCAAAGGGCACCTGGTGCCGACGGTAGAGATGATTATGCTTCACTAAGCTCACTTGTAGCAATGCACACTTGGGCAAGATAGGAGGAAACAAGAAGACAAACTTGTGTGAATAAGTGGACGGGCCATATGAAGTGGGGGTGGGAGAAAGAGATGCAGCACTAGAAGGTAGAATAAAAAATGGGAGCGAGGAATGATGCAACAACGGTTGAACAGAAAACTGGTAGAGCGGATTGCATGCACTTGTCACTGTTAAGTTGTAACTCCGTGCTTATAATGTTATCTCTCACTGACGATGCCGACTTTGGTGCCGGCGAAACGTTTGGGAATGTATCCAGCTAATGGTCCTATACTGTAAATCACGAAAATTATGGCAGAGGAGACGAGACCAGGTACGTTTCATCAGGTCTCCCTGACGCTTTGACCAAGTTGTGAAAACAAGGTTGAACCAACACTATAAAGCTAAAGGAGATTGCGACAGGCCACAGCATTTTGGTATTTATATCTACAATCTAAAAGAGACTTACGATAAAATACTTGAGGTCTCCTAGTTTTTCTTGGAAATTCCTTCCAAATACAGCTATTTGGCCATCATATCGTCCTCCCTTAGGAGCTGC